TGATGATAATTTGAATTTTTTATTTTTAAAGTTAACTAGCATATTACTATTTCTTAATAAAACATTTACTCTTTTGCTAATAACAAAAACATTATACTATTTAGACCAGAACTTTTAGGAACATAGGAGAAGGTTTCTTTCTGTCTACTCATTTGCTATTATTCCCTTTAGGAAAACTTGTCATTAACTGATTGCATGCTCTCTTTTTAGAACCATATTTCCCTCAAAAGGATAAATAGCATTTTTTTTTCTATGAAACAAACAAACAAATAAAAAACCTTTCTGAGTTTCTAAAGCATTTACAGAAATTCCAAAGATCTCAAATATCCACAGAAGGCTGAAACTTGAGTCTGAATTTCCCATTGGGAAGTATATTTCTTCAGGCAAATATTTCCTTAATGTTTTTTTCTTTCCCAAATCTACTCTTTTTTCCTCTGATGGTTAAGTGAATTGGTGTATATAAAATGAGACGTAAACCATCACCAAGTCTCAAACCAAACTTTCCCCTTGAGGTTTAAAAGGAACTTCATTCACACTAAGGAAAAAAGTCTGTCTGTCTCTCTTTCTAATGCGGAAAGTGAAGGTGATGTGCTGTTCCTGATTTGGTCCATTATTGTAAGTTTGCTTTTGTTAAAAAAAAAAAAAAAATGTGTGTATGTATACATTCAAACCCACCCCTTTTTCTATATCTATATCTGTATCGATATCTATTATCTATATCTATCTATATACTTTTGGTTTCCAGTAGAGCAATGCTTGCTGAGATAATTTGACTTCTGGAGTACAAAATCTGTACTTTAGAGGTATCACAGCCATAATGACATCTGAGAGTGGTGTGAAATGGATGGTCAAAATTAAGAGGTAACCTAAATTCCTCTAATCCAGAGAAGTCACAGAATAAGTTGTCACAACTTTTTAATTCTTTGGCATGATCATTACTGATACATAGGTAAATTTGCCTTCCTCAAAACCCCAAATTCTTATACAACTTTTGAGAAATGACCTAGATCTTGCAAATACATTACAGAGTGGTGGTAGTGGTGGTGGGTGGTGGTAGTGTGCTATCGAGTTATTTCTGACTCATAGCGACCCTGTAAATCTTTACAGGAGCAGAATGCCTCATCTTTCTCCTGTGAAGCAGCTAGTAGGTTTGAATTGCTGACCCTGCAGTTGGAAGCCCAACTTGTAATCCACTACTTCTTTCAATATAGTTGTTGTTGTTAAGTGCCTTTGATAGGTTCTGACTCATAGTGACCCGGTAGAGTAACTTAATTTTCTAGGATGTGTTTAGAATCCATCTTTAGCTATTCACAGTTGGAAGCATTAAAAACTTGAAATCCATGTAATACATGAATTAGATGTAGTTTTTATTATAAATCTTAATTTTCTAATTTGCATTCATTATGTAATGAATCTCTCAACCATTTGTAGTTACTTCAAACACATCCCCTTATTGGTTTGTTTTTAGGTAAGTGATACAGTCGGTTGTCATTTTTAACATCAAATATGAGGTCATGTCTGTTTCCATGCCAACAGATCCTCTTGGGAGAGTATATTCAGTAAAAGCCCGGAGGTGTTGTCTCCTTTGCAGCTCCAATGTTGCCAGCGCCTGGTTGAGCTTTGCAAACAGTGCCTACTAGTGGTTTACAAATATGCAACTGATACAAGAGGATCACTCTCAGGCATGGGTCCTGATTGGGGTAACTCCAGGTATTTGTTTATATTTCCTAACCACGCTAAGTCTTATATAAAGTAATGCCACAATGCAGTTTGAAATGGAGAGTTTCTTTTTGCATACATGAGTAGAAGAAATATTAAAGACTGAAAATTCATACATACCATTATCTACAAAATATTTTTAATTATCACAGTCTTAAGTTTAAAAATCTGAGCAAGGTTAATAATCACAAACCTAATGGTGATAGAAATAAAAATAATCGACATGAAAATGAGATTATTTTGCTTATATGCATTTGCTTTCAAAAAGTTGAGAAAGAACCAAATAAAAAGCAAACCTACTCCTGCTGAGCCAATTTTGACTCATAATGGACCACCCTATAGGAGAGAATGGAACTGCTCCATACCCTCCCCAAGGCTGTAAAATCTTTACAGAAGCAGAAGGCCACATCTTTGTCTCATGTAGCAGTTGGTGAGTTCCAAACACTGATCTTTTTGGTTTGTAACCAAACATTTTACCCATGGTTCACTAGGGCTCCTCAGCCAAGTGAGATCATCAAAACTGTGTTAAGTTTAACTCTCCCCCCCACCCCCCCAATGAGAGTGTCTAAACATTTATCCTTGAACTTATTATAGTTGGGGAAATGCTGTATTTTTTTATTCTTCAGTGCCTTTACACACTGTCCTCACTGCTAAACAAATGTGTAAAAGCAGCGACTTTGGTTATGTTCCATTTAAAATTCAGTTTTATAAATGAAGCTGAGTTAAAATAGTTAGTTTTCAAAAAGTATGAAAAGCAATATTGCTTCTAAGTTGAAAAACACACAAAGTATATTTTAGAAAAAGAAGTATATTTTAACCTTTTTCAAGGCAAGTGTAGTTAGTGTCTTAGAACTAAGGATTGAATTTATGACTTTTGTAGTTAGTGTAAGTTGGAGTACTACTCCAAATAGAAAATAGTAAACTTTGGTTTTGAGAAAACAAATGACAGTAAAAAAAGTAGAGGATTCAACATAATAGACCATAGCTTGGAATTTCTTTTTTGAAACAACTAGAAATTGATCTATTTAAAAGAACTCAGGCAATAGAGTAAAAGTTGTTGTTAGGTGCCATTGAGTTAGTACTGACTCAGCGACCCCATGTACAACAGAACAAAACACTGCCTGGTCCTGGGCCAACCTCACTATTGTTGCCACGCTTGAGCCCATTGATGCTGCCACTTTGCCAATCCATCTTGCTGGGGGTCTTCCTCTTTTTCCCTGACCCTCCACTCTACCAAACATGATATTCTTCTCCAGCGACTGGTCCCTCCTGACAATATGTCCGAAGTACGAGAGACAAAGTTTGGCCATCCTGACCTCCAAGGAACGCTCTGGCTGCACTTCTTCCAACACAGATAAGACTGTTTGTTCTTTTGGCATCCCATGGCACTTTCAATATTCTTCTCCAACACCATAACTCAAAAGCATCAATTCTTCTATGGTCTTCCTTATTCAATGTCCAGCTTTCACATGCATATGAGGTTATTGAAATACCATGGCTTGGGTTAGGTACAACTTAGTTCTCAAGCTGACAGAGTAAAAGTAGCGTCCTATAAAAGTGACCTCCAGCAGCAGACTGGCTCAGAATATTTTTTCACAAAAAATATTGAAATAAAATGTCACTAATTTTAAATCTCTGTTCATCTTGGATGTTGTCATTGTATGGTTGCAGGACCATTAACCTACTTAACTCTCCTCCTAGAAAAAGAACCTGATTAGTCATAACAATGATAAAGGGAGGTAGAGTTAGCCTTAACACTTAAAATATGTAAATATTAAAGTTATATTCTAAAGTTTTGATGGTTTGAGTGAATCAAATTATTGAAGTAAAACACATCACTTTGATTAATATTTACATATTACTTAAAAGAAGGCTAGCCATGAGGACATTGATTGGTTGATTATGTGCTGTGGAGTTGGTTCCAACTTATAACAACCCTGCATAGTGTCTCTGAGGCTGTAAATCTTTATAGGAGCAGAAAGTCTCATCTGCTCTGGTAGTTTCAAACGGTTGATCTTGACGTTTGCAACCCAACTTGTAGCCACTCTGCTACTTTACAACATATAAATGGAGAGCCTTGTCGTTCAAGGGAGCATGGTTAAGAAAATCCTACATTTGAAGCTTGTTGTAGTTGTTATTGTTAAGTATTGTTAAGTTCTGACTCATAGCGACCCTGTAGCAAGGTCCAAGGAGCAGCTGGTGAGTTTGAACTGCTGACCTTGTGGTTCAAACTGACCTTGCAATCCAGCACATTAGCCCACAGAGCCACACCAGGATGATTTCAGATTATGTAATGTTACTACTGAAATTCCAGGTTTTTTAGCCCAACTTCTGTGAAGGGATTGTGTAGCTTTTGTGGGTGGGCAAATAGGACTTCTTTATGGTTGCTCTGGAGGGAGAAGTTAGTTGCTCCAGGGATTTTTATTTTCTTCCCCTCTTGGAAGTCAGAAAAGATATGATTCCTAACTTCTGATAAACACCCAGTATGTGATTATACTGCAGACATCTGTCAGCTTGTCTTACTGTGGTGGCTATGCCACTGTTGTTTTGAATACCAGCAGGGTCACCCATGGTGGGCAGATTTCAGCAGTTTCCAGACTAACACAGACTAGGAAGAAGGAATAGGCACTCCACATTGGAGGGATTAGTCCTTGTCAACCTTATGAATAGCAGTGAAATATTGTTTAATATTGTAATGAAACATGAGCGTTTCAGGTTGGGAGGCACTCAAAATAATGCTTTAGGAAAAGCTGCCTCCTCAAAATAGTTCTTGTTACATACCGTTGAGTTGGTGCTGGCCAATAATGACCCCATATAGGGTTCCCAAGGAGCAGCTGGTGGGTTTGAATTGCTGACCTTGTGGTTTGCAGTCCAGTTCTGATCCTACAGTGCCCATACTAGAAGAGTTGACATTAATGATGTGGATGGAGCAAAGCTTTCATGACCTTCATTTACTGATGGGACTCAAAATGAGAAGAAACTGTTGTAAACATCCACTAATAATCAGAACATGAAATTTGTGAATCTAGAAAAATTGGAAATCATCAAAAATGAAATGGAACTCATAAAGATCAATATCCTAAGGGTTAGTGAGCTGAAATGGTCATGTATTAGATTGTGAACCTGACAATCATATGGGTTTACTATGTCAGAAATGACAAATTGAGGAGGAATGGCATTGCATTCATCTTCGAAAAGAACATTTCAAGATCGGTCTTGGAATACAATACTGTCTGTGATAGGCTAATATCTATATTCCTACAAGAAAGATCAGTTAATACAACTATTAATCAAATTTGCTCACTAACCACCAAAGCCAGTGATAATGAAATTGAATAATTCTGTCAAATTCTTCAGTCAGAAATTAATTAAACATGTAATCAAGATTCATTGATAATAACTGGTGATTGGGATGTGAACGTTGGCAAAAAAAGAGGGGTTCGGTGTTGGGAAATATGGCCCTCGTGATAGAAATTACTCTGGAGATCACAGGATAGAATTTTGCAAGACAAATAACTTATTTATTACAAGTTTCTTTTTCAACAACATGAGTGTGGACTATACATGTGGACCTTGCCAGATACATAGGAATCAAATCGACAACATCTGTGGGAAGAGATGATGGAGAAGCTCAATATCATAAACCAAAACAGGACCATAGACCAACTGTGGAACATACCACCAATTACTCATATGCAAGTTTAGGCTGAAGCTGGAGAAAAGAAAACAAGTCCATGAGAGCAAAAATATGACTTTGAGTATATTCCACCTGAATTAGTAGACCATCTCAAGAACAGATTGGATGCATTGAACACTAACAACTGAAGACCAGAGGAGTTGTGAGATGACATCAAGAACATCATGTATGAAGAAAGCATGAGGTCATTAAAAATACACAAAAAGGAGTGGATGTCAGCACTCTGCAACTTGCTTTTGAACACATAGTAGCTAAAGTGAAAGACATGATGAAGTAAAAGAGCTGACCAGAAAATTTCAAAGGATGGCTTGAGAAGAAAAAGTAAAGTATTAACAATAATATGTGCAAAAACCTGGATTTAGAAACCAAAAGGGATGAATGTGCTCAGTATTTCTCAAGCTGGAAGAACTGAAGAACAAATTCAAGCTTCCAGTTATAATATGAAAGAATTCTATGGACAAAATATTGAAAAAGCATTTAAAAAAACAAGATGGAAAGAATGCACAAAATCATTTTACCAAAAAAAAAGAAAAAAAGATCAATGTTCAATTATTTCAAGAGGTAGCATATGATCAAGAACTGATGATATTGAAGGAAGACATCCAAGCTGCACTGAAGTAACTGATAAAAAGACAAGGTGCCAAGAATTGATGGAATAAAAACAACAACAACAATGAATTGAAATGTTTCAACAATTGCTGCAGTGCTGGAATTATTCATTACTCTAGAACAAGAAATTTGGAAGACAGTTACCTGGTCAGCTGACTGGAAGAGATGCATGTCTTTGTGCCCATTTCAAAGAAAGGCATTGCAGAGAGTGTACAAATTATCAAACTACATCATTGATACCTCGTGAAAGTAAAATTTTGCTGAAAATAATTTTAAAAACCATTGAAGCAGCACATAGAGAGGGAGCTGCCTGAAATTCAAGGTGGATTCAGAAGATAACATGGAAAGAGGGATATCATTGCTGTTGTCTTCTGTACCTTGTCTGAAAGCAGAGAATACCAGAAAAATGTTTACTTGTGTTTTATCGACTATGCAAAGATGTTCAACTCTGTGGATCATAACTCTAGAACCATGTGAAGCATGGAAATTCTAGAACATTTAACTGTGCTTATAAGGACCCTGTATGTAGGCCAAGAGACAGTTGTTCAAACAACACAAGGAGATGCTGCATGGTTTAAAATCAGGAAAGGTATGTTTCAGGGTTGTATTTTTTCAACATACTTATTCTGTATGCCAAACAAATAATCTAAGTAGCTAGATTATATGAAGTAGAACATAGCATCAG